ATTGTTGCACATTTGAAGCTTCAGGATCACAAGTGATGAGGACGTCGCAGTCTCAGGAAGTCTTGACCGGCTTCTGTGTGCGACAGGGTGGAGTCATCTATAAGGCGAAGGACTGGAGTAGTAGGAGAAGGATGAGGAGGATGACGACGAGGAGGAGGTGGGAAAGGGGAAGGAGGATGAGCAGGAGGAGGAGACGGAGGAGGAGGAGGAGGACGGAGGAAGAGGAGCCGGAGGAGGGGACAAGGGAGGGGGTAGGAAAAGGAGGTGGAGAAGGAGGGGTCGGCGGAGGGGGAAGTGGGAGGGGGAGGGGGAAGGGGAGGGAGGGGGGCGGGAGGGGGCGTGAGGTCTTCCACGTCGGGGTCGAGGTCCTCGGGGTGGAGTTCTGTTTCCAGGCGATGGAGGGCTCGAGGACCGCTTGGGGCCGCCGCAGCCCGCTCGCAGCCTCCCTCCCGAGGGGTACGAGGATCGAGGAGGATGAGGAAGAGGAGGAGGAGGAGGAAGAGGAGGATTATGAGGCGGAGGAGGAGGAGGAGGAGGAGGAGGAGGAGGAGGAGGAGGAGGAGGAGGAGGAGGAGGAGGAGGAGGGAGGAGATGAGGAGGAGGAGGAGGAGGAGGATTCATAAAAAAGAGGACGTTGAGGAAAAGGTGGAACAGGAGGAGGCGGAGGAGGAGGACGAGCAGGAGGAGGAGGTGCAGGCGGAGGAGGAGGATGAGGAGGAGGAGGAGGAGGAGGAACAGAAGGTAAGATGAGGAGGGTCTGAAGTGGCGGAGGAAGGTGGGGGGGCGGGACCAGCGTGTCCTGTGGGTCTCTGAAGCAGAGGCCGCTGAGCTCTGGGAACGTCAGGAGGAGGAGGGGAGTTCGAGGAAGAAGGTTCGAACGTGGAGGCTTTTGAGCACTCGTCCGCCTCCGCTGGTGGCCACGGCTCGGTTCCCCCTAGGAGTTTTGGTCAAGAAGTGCCGAGGATCGAAGTTTGAGGAGGGAGATGCTAGCGTGACGCTTTTTGAGCACTCTGCTTCTCGTCGCCGCGGCTGGTTTCTCCTCGCAGTGCTGGCCAGAGCGCCGAGGATCCCGCCCGCCGCCCCGCCCCCCCCGAGGTGCTGGGATCCTGATTTGAGGATGGGTGCTCGACTCTGAAGGCTTTGGAACACTTGTCCGTCCTCTTCTCCGGGGCCTCCGAGGTCTTTTTTCTTGTCTGCCGCCACGGCTGGGTTCTCCTCGGTGCTTCGGTCGAGCGTACTCCAAGGGCGGGCCGTGCTCGTTTTTTTTTTGTTTTTGTTGGGGAGGGGAGAGGTTCGAAACCTTGGTCTTCGGACCCTCGAGCCCTTGACCCTCGAAACTCTCGACCTCGCCTCGGGGCTCCGGCTTCCGCCTCGGTGCAGACGGCGGCAGGCGCGTCGGCCGACCCCTCGCGGCGCGGGCAGCGTCAGCAGAGCCCAGCGACGATCACGGATATCCTCGGGGCGCCACGTGTTGAGTGGGGTCGACGCCTCGCCAGTCAAGCCGATGAAGCTGTGCACGATCCAGCCATTCGCTTATGTCCAAAGTTTTGGCCTGACGCCGCGTGTGGTGCATCAGTTTCAGCTTGACCGAACAGGCTGGTTGTGCCCCTTGACGTCCGTTTGGGGTGTTCTGCAGACCTGACCTCCCAGCCAGCCCTACTCGAGCCATGCGCAGGATGAGCGCGCCTCAGAGGGGAACGCGAGTCCGCGGCCCCCTCCGCCGCCGGCCTCGGCATCAGCGCCGCGCCGTCCGCGGCGCCGTCGCGGCCGTGCCGGTCAGCCGCCGTCGAGCGGCCTCGGGCCGACGGCGATCTTGAGAGCGGAGGGGATGGGGGAACGAACAATGACACACATATAGCAACTCGGAGGTCCGCGCGGATTTCTCGTATCCGCGCTGGACCCCCCTGGCGGCGCATCCGACGCCGCCCCTGGCGCGCTCTGCGCGCCAGGGAGAAGGGTCGAGCGCCGTTCCGCGAAATCCGCGCGGACCTCCGAGTTTTCATGTTTCTGTCATTGTTCGCTCCCCTCGGGGAGAATGTTGTTTGTTAGCCGAAGGGCTTCGCGCGCGCGCTCTCCGTGACTTCGTGACTCCTTGCCTGACAACTCGGCGGAAACGCGCGTGCGTGAGAATAGGCAGATTCGAGACAGCTTCGGTCACGGACAGAGTCTTAACAGGAGGATGGAGAAAGGAAAGGAGGAGGAAGAGGAGGAAGAGGGGGAGGAGGAGGGATGAGAGAAAATGTCAGGAGGAAGAGGAGGGAGCAGAGGATTAGGGAGGACGGAGGGAAGAGGGAGGAGGAGGAGGAGGAGGAGGAGGAGGAGGAGGAGGAGGAGGAGGAGGAGGAGGGGGAGGAGGAGGGGGAGGAGGAGGAGGAGGGAGCTTGGGAGGAAGGAGAGAGGAGGGAGGGGGAGTGGAGAAGCCAGTGCGGATTCCGTTCAGAACAAGTGGGAAGGGCCCGGCCTGTCCTGGAGGATTCCGTTCCGGACCTTCCGAGGCGAAGGTCGTGCGGAGGCTGCTGGGCCAGGAGCGAACGAGGAGAAAAAACACGTCGCGTGAGCTTCGCTTCGTCTTTCGCTCGCCGTCTCGGGGCTCTGCATGGACAAATCTATGCAGGCGTCCGCTGCAGCACGTCAGCAAGGTCGGCGCAGCGACTTTTCCCAAGTCGGCTCTGCCAGATGCACCAAGGTAGATGCAGGCACATCGAGTTACATCCACGGCCATCCGTGCGAATCTAGAAATCTACACAGAAGTCTGGAGCAAATCGTGGCCGTCCCAGCGCGAGTCGAGGGACGGCGGGAGTCGTGAAGCCGTCAACCTCTAGAGGTTTTTAGTTTGGTTCCCCTTCCATTTCTCTTGGTGTGGAGCAAACTCCACCCCTTCTCCTCCTCCTCCCCCTCCTCCTCCTCCTACTCCTCCTCTTCCTCCTCCTCCTCCTCCTCCTCCTCCTCCTCCCGTCTTCCTCCTCCTGCTCCTCCTCGTCCTCTTCCTGCTCATCCTCGTGTTGGTTATCCTTGTCGTCGTCGTCGTTGTTTTCGTCGTCGTCGCGGCGGAGATTCGGTTCCCTCTTCTGGTGGGCGGGCTGGATAGACTAATCCGGTGTGGGTTACCCTACACGCGAGAGGATTCCTGAGCATCTTGTCATGCAGATTGCAATAGGAATCAGTGACTGTGATTGTAGTCGTGATTGTGGTCGTGGTTGTAATTGGGATTGTAGTTTTGATTGTATAAGCGATTGTAGTCGTAATCGTAGTCGTGGTTGTAGTCGTAATCGTGGTCGTAATCGTAGTCGTAGTCGTAATAGTCGTCGTTTTCGTAGTCGTCGCGGCGGGTATTCCCCCTGTCTTATCGGGCGGCTGGATCATGTTGGGGGCTCTTTCCCTTAGGGAATCATGCTCCCTTGCCTACCCTGCACGGCAGAGGATCTGGGAGCACGTTGGTAAGAGGGTTGCAATATAAATCCTTCGCCGAAAGCGTTGCTCACAAAATCCTCTTTCATCTCGTTGTCGTCGTCGTCGTTGTTGTGCGGCGGGTGCCGCGCAGAAACAATCATGTTCAATTCTTTGTGGGACCCCAGTCAGTCAGTACGGGCTTTGAACATATACTCCGTTTTTCTTATTGGGGTGGTTGGGTTCTGCAGACCTTCGTAGAGGTTGGCGTGTTGTCCTACCAGCCCCGCGCGGCCCTTTCAAGTCCCCTCGCCAGCTGATCGTGAGGGGATGTCGTCCGCTCCAGTCTTCCTCAGCCACGCGCAGAGGGGGGTGGGGGGGCAGGGGGGAGGGCTTCTCAGAAGCACCCGTGCTTCTTAGAATTCTCTTGCCTTACCTAAAGACGTAAGGTCGGCGCCTTCTAAGAAGCCGCCTCCTTCTAGACGCCCTCCCCCTTCCTCCACCCCCTCGTGCGCGCCGCCAACTTCCGACGACGCCTGTTTGTGGCCTCGTCTTCGGCAGTCCGCCCTCTTCGGTGCACGCGTCCTGCCTTCTCGCTCGTCGAGTGGTGCGCTGCAGTCTTTTCCACCCACTCTGCACTCCTATGCTCCTCCCCTTGCCTTCCCAGCCTTCTTCTCGCTCGTCGAGTGGTGCGTTGCAGTCTTTTCCACCCACTCTGCATTCCTATGCTCCTCCCCTTGCCTTCCCAGCCTTCCCACGTCCGTGGGCCACCCGCAGCCTGCGGCTCCGACCGACCTGGGCGCTCGGACGTGTAGGTGTGCCGTCCGCTCTTTCCAGCGCGCCGTGGGGGGGATGGCGGCCAGGTGCGTGGGGTCTTTCTTCTCTTTCGAAGGATTGCAAAAAAACCCTTCGTGGGTTTTTTTTGCAATCCTTCGAAGGGTTTTTTTTGCAATCCTTCGTGGGTTTTTTTTGCAATCCTTGGTTTTTTTGCACTCCTCCCCGTCCACCCTCTCCCACTACCTCTGGATTACCCGCACGCCCCCTGGTCACCGGACGGGGGTTCGCGCAGAGCGCGGCCAGAGGATCTCCGCGCGGACCTCCGACTCTTTGATTTGCGTGTGCGCACTGTGGTGTTCCGATGCCGCCAGTCACGCAAACAGCCCTTCCCCTCGCCCTTTCCTCCTCCTCCTCCTCCTCCTCCTCCTCCTCCTCCTCCCTCCTCATCCTCCTCCTCCTCCTCCTCCTCCTCCTGCCTGGGAAGGGACGGGCGGAGCAGGAAGAGCTCCCCGAGAGGGGTGGCTCGCGCCCGGCCGTGGCGCCGGCGTGCGAAGGTGGGGGCCTGCGGCGTCGGGGGGGGGTCGCTCCGAGGAGCAGGATGTCCTCCGTCTGACTTGCAGTCCCCAGCATTTCTCGGTCTTGGTCCTTCTCCTCTCCCTCCTCCTCCTCTCCTCCTCCTACTCCTCCTTTATCATCATATCATCATCATCATCATCATCTCATCATCATCATCATCATCATCATCATCATCATCATCATCATCATCATCATCATCATCATCATCATCATCATCATCATCATCATCATCATCATCATCATCATCATCATCATCATCATCATCATCATCATCATCATCATCATCATCATCATCATCATCATCATCATCATCATCATCATCGGGGCACGGCCGAGGAGTGGCCGGGGAGGCCGTGCAGAACGGCGGAGGGCTGCTGAGCGACGGCGAGCGAGGGGGGGGAGGCGAGAGGGGGGCGGGCCTCCTCGGAAGCCTCGGGAGTCCCCCCAGGCCTTGCGAGAAGGTTTCGAAGGCTTCCCCGAAGGCGCAGCAAACTTCTCAGAAGGATGGGGGCCTACCGTGACGCCCCGCCGCCCTCTGAGAGGGCCTTCTCTTTCTCTTTCTCTCGCCGCCGATCTGAGAAGGGCAGAAGGGCGATGCTGGTTGTCGACGGCGTTTCCAAATCGACTCTGCCGTCCTCTCCAGAGAACGAGCCTGTTCGGACAACTGTTGCCGCCTTGGCCCGCGCCACCGCGCTCGAATCCACGAAGACAGGCCCCCGAGCGGGGCGTTTCCTAAGAGAGTAGCAGCTGCCCAGCGAGGCCCACATGCTAGCCTGCTTTTGGTAGCTTGGCTGTGCACATTCCGATCCACGCCAGTACTTGCGTCCATTGCAGAATTTACTTCGCTTGGTGATGAGCTCCATCATCAGAGTGATGGATGGGGCCCGAGCGGTTTTACTTCTTCCCTGCGCGCGCGTGGCTGGATGGAGGGCTTGGTCTCTCGGGACGGTGCTTTGGGGCAGCATGGTCGGTCCGAGGTATAATGTGAATGTCGAGGTCGGTTCTCGGGGGGGGGGTACCCTGATGTTCTGCGTGCTTGTTGGATGTTGTTCCCAACCATCCTGTGGTGTTGGGTCCTCGTTTTGAAGAGACAGCGACCCGCGTTCCTCCTCCTTCCTCCTCCCCCTACTACTCCCCCTCCTCCTCCTCCTCCTCCTCCTCCTCCTCCTCCTTCTCCCTCCTCTCCTCCCTGCTTCTCCTCTCCACATGCCCATCCCATTTCGGCACACCTCTCACACGCTTCGTGGCCCAACAGGGAGCTCCACCGAAGGCCCCAGTGGGAAAGTTCGCACGGCACCGCCGCCCCATTTCGGCACACCCCTCACACGTTTTGTGGCCCCATAAGGAGCCCCACCTAAGGAAGCAGTAGGACATTTCGCATGGCACCACCGCCCTATTACGGCACACCACTCACACGTGTCGTGTCCCATAGCGAGCTCCACCTAAAGCCTCAGTGGGAAAGTTCGCATGGCACCGCCGCCCCATTTCGGCCGCTCTCACACGTTTCGTGGCCCCATGGAGAGCTCCACCCACAGCCCCAGTGGGAAAGTTCACACGCCACCGCCGCCCATCCCTCACACGTTTCGTCGCCCCATAGGGGAGCTCCACCGAAGGCACCATGGCACCGCCGCCCCATTCCGGTACACCTCACACGTTTCGTGGCCCCATAGGGAGTTCCATCAAAGGCCCCAGTGGGAAAGGTCGCATGGCACCACCGCCCCATTACGGCACACCCCTCGCACGCTTCCTGGCCCCATAGGGAGCTCCACCGAAGGCCCCAGTGGGAAAGTTCGCATGGCACCGCCGCCCCATTTCGGCACACCCTTCACACGTTTCGTGGCCCCATGGGGAGCTCCACCTGAATCCCCAGTGGGAAAGTTCGCATGGCACCGCCGCCCCATTGCGGCACCCCCCTTCGCACGCTTCGTGGTCCCATAGGGAGCACCACCTAAAGCCTCAGTTGGAAATTCGCGGGTACAGACGCCCCATTTCGGCACACCCCTCACATGTGTCGCGCCCCATAGGGAGCTCCACCTAAAGCCTCAGTGGGAAAGTTTGTATGGTACCGCCGCCCCATTTCGGCACACCCCTCGCACGCTTCCTGGCCCCATGGGGAGCTCCACCGACAGCCCCAGTGGGAAAGTTCGCATGGCACCGCCGCCCCATGTCGGCACCCCCCTCACACGCTTCGTGACCCCATAGGGAGCTCCACCTAAGGCCCCAGTGGGAAAGTTCGCATGGCACCGCGGCCCCATGTCGGCACACCCCTCGCACGCTTCGCGGCCCCATCAGCCCCACCGAAGGCCCCAGTTGGAAAGTTCGCATGGCACCGCCGCCGCATTTCGGCACCCCCTTCGCACGCTTCGTGACCCCATAGGGAGCACCACCAGAGGCCCCAGTGGGAAAGTTTGCATGGCACCACCGCCCCATTTCCGCACATCCCTCACACGTTTCGTGGCCCCATAGGAAGGCCCCAGTGGGAAAGTTTGCATGGCACCGTCGCCCCAGTCCGGCACACCCCTCACACGCTTTGTGGCCCAACAGGGAGCTCCACCGAAGGCCCCAGTGGGAAAGTTCGCACGGCACCGCCGCCCCATTTCGGCACACCCCTCACACGTTTTGTGGCCCCATAAGGAGCCCCAGCTAAAGCCCCAGTGGGAAAGTTCGCATGGCACCGCCGCTCCATTTCGGCACAGACCCTTACACCTTTAGTGGCCCCATGGGGAGCTCCACCGAAGGTTCAGTGGGAACGTTCGCATGGCACCGCCGCCCCAGTTAGGCACACCCCTCACACGTTTCGTGACCCCATAGGGAGCTCATCCGAAGGCCCCAGTGGGAAAGTTTGCATGGCACCGCCGCCCCATTTCGGCACACCCCTCACACGCTCCGTGGCCACATAGGGAGCTCTACCTAAAGCCCCAGTGGGAAAGTTCGCATGGCACCGCCGCCCCATGTCGGCACCCCCCTCGAAATTGAGAGCCCCACTTAAGTCTCAGTGCGAAAGTTCGCATGGCACCGCCGCCCCAGTCCGGCACACCCCTCACACGCTTCGTGGCCCAACAGGGAGCTCCACCGAAGACCCCAGTGGGAAAGTTCGCACGGCACCGCCGCCCCATTTCGGCACACCCCTCACACGTTTTGTGGCCCCATAAGGAGCCCCACCTGAAACCCCAGTGGGAAAGGTCGCATGGCACCGCCGCTCCATTTCGGCACAGACCCTTACACGTTTCGTGGCCCCATGGGGAGCTCCACCGAAGGTTCAGTGGGAACGTTCGCATGGCACCGCCGCCCCAGTTAGGCACACCCCTCACACGTTTCGTGGCCCCATAGGGAGCTGATCCGAAGGCCCCAGTGGGAAAGTTCGCACGGCACCGCCGCCACATTTCGGCACACCCCTCACACGTTTTGTGGCCCCATAAGGAGCCCCACCTGAAACCCCAGTGGGAAAGGTCGCATGGCACCGCCGCTCCATTTCGGCACAGACCCTTACACGTTTCGTGGCCCCATGGGGAGTTCCACCGAAGGTTCAGTGGGAACGTTCGCATGGCACCGCCGCCCCAGTTAGGCACACCCCTCACACGTTTCGTGGCCCCATAGGGAGCTGATCCGAAGGCCCCAGTGGGAAAGTTCGCACGGCACCGCCGCCCCATTTCGGCACACCCCTCACACGTTTTGTGGCCCCATAAGGAGCCCCACCTGAAACCCCAGTGGGAATGGTCGCATGGCACCGCCGCTCCATTTCGGCACAGACCCTTACACGTTTCGTGGCCCCATGGGGAGCTCCACCGAAGGTTCAGTGGGAACGTTCGCATGGCACCGCCGCCCCAGTTAGGCACACCCCTCACACGCTTCGTGGCCCCATAGGGAGCTGATCCGAAGGCCCCAGTGGGAAAGTTTGCATGGCACCGCCGCCACATTTCGGCACACCCCTCACACGTTTTGTGGCCCCATAAGGAGCCCCACCTGAAACCCCAGTGGGAAAGGTCGCATGGCACCGCCGCTCCATTTCGGCACAGACCCTTACACGTTTCGTGGCCCCATAGGGAGCTCCACCGAAGGTTCAGTGGGAACGTTCGCCATGGCACCGCGCCCCGTTAGGCACCACCCCTCACACGTTTCGTGGCCCCATAGGAGCTGATCGAAGGCCCAGTGGGAAGTTTGCATGCAGTCGCCGCCACATTTCGGCACACCCTCACACGTTTTGTGGCCCCATATGGAGCCCCACCTGAAACCGCCACAGTGGGAAAGGTTCGCATGGCACGCCGCCGCTCATTTCGCACAGCCCTTACACGTTACGTTGGCCCCATGGGGAGCTCCACCGAAGGTTCAGTGGGAACGTTCGCATGGCACCGCCGCCCCAGTTAGGCACACCCCTCACACGTTTCGTGGCCCCATAGGGAGTTGATCCGAAGGCCCCAGTGGGAAAATTTGCATGGCACCGCCGCCACATTTCGGCACACCCCTCACACGTTTTGTGGCCCCATAAGGAGCCCCACCTGAAACCCCAGTGGGAAAGGTCGCATGGCACCGCCGCTCCATTTCGGCACAGACCCTTACACGTTTCGTGGCCCCATGGGGAGCTCCACCGAAGGTTCAGTGGGAACGTTCGCATGGCACCGCCGCCCCAGTTAGGCACACCCCTCACACGTTTCGTGGCCCCATAGGGAGCTGATCCGAAGGCCCCAGTGGGAAAGTTTGCATGGCACCGCCGCCACATTTCGGCACACCCCTCACACGTTTTGTGGCCCCATAAGGAGCCCCACCTGAAACCCCAGTGGGAAAGGTCGCATGGCACCGCCGCTCCATTTCGGCACAGACCCTTACACGTTTCGTGGCCCCATGGGGAGCTCCACCGAAGGTTCAGTGGGAACGTTCGCATGGCACCGCCGCCCCAGTTAGGCACACCCCTCACATCGAAGGCCCCAGTTTTCGGCCCCCTCACACGTAGGAGCCTGATCCCGCAAGGCCCCATTTCGTGAATGGGGAGCTCCACCGAAGGTTCAGTGGGAACGTTCGCTGGCACCGCCGCCCCAGTTAGCACCCCCTCACACGTTTCGTGGCCCCATAGGGAGCTGATCCGAAGGCCCCAGTGGGAAAGTTTGCATGGCACCGCCGCCACATTTCGGCACACCCCTCACACGTTTTGTGGCCCCATAAGGAGCCCCACCTGAAACCCCAGTGGGAAAGGTCGCATGGCACCGCCGCTCCATTTCGGCACAGACCCTTACACGTTTCGTGGCCCCATGGGGAGCTCCACCGAAGGTTCAGTGGGAACGTTCGCATGGCACCGCCGCCCCAGTTAGGCACACCCCTCACACGCTTCGTGGCCCCATAGGGAGCTGATCCGAAGGCCCCAGTGGGTTTCGTGGCCCCATGGGGAGCTCCACCGAAGGTTCAGTGGGAACGTTCGCATGGCACCGCCGCCCCAGTTAGGCACACCCCTCACACGCTTCGTGGCCCCATAGGGAGCTGATCCGAAGGCCCCAGTGGGAAAGTTTGCACGGCACCGCCGCCCCATTTCGGCACACCCCTCACACGTTTCGTGGCCCCATAGGGAGCGCCACGGAAGGCCTCAATGGCGACGTTCGCAGGCGTTCCCCCGACTGGTGTTGGCACACCCTTCACACGCTTCGTGGCAGAAGGCTATGCCGCGTGCGCTACTCGGAGTTGGCGCGCCCCCCTCCTTCGTCCAATTTTCCTCGCGGCACTCGCAGCTGCATATGGTTGGGTCCTTCGTCCTTCGTCAGGTTAATTGTGCACCCTGGGGAGGGTGCACTGAAGGATTGTTCTTCTGTCCTTGCAGGGGGTCCCATGTCGTACGTCTTCCCTGCGCGCGCGTGGCTGGATGGAGGGCCCCGTCTCTCGGGACGATGCTTGGGGCCACTACACGGGGGCAGCACTTGGGGGCACAACTTGGGGGGCGATACCTGGGGGCAAAGCATGTGGGCAATACATGGTTGTACACGGGGACCATACTTGGGGGCGATACTCGGGGGCAGTACATGGGGGCTATACTCGGGTGCAAGACGTTGGAGCAACGCTTGGGGCAACGCGTGGGAGCCATACTTGGGTGGACCCCGCCGCGGCCCCCGCGCTCTCATATGCAATTGCGGGCTGCTGCGTATCTGCTTAGAATTTGCACCGTATCTGCACCGTGTTCTTTTCGGGCTTCAGAACCATTAGCGCAGTAAGACGAATTGGTGCCATACTCAGCCGCCTGGTCTGTGACCAGACCGCCCTCTCTTACACTGATGGTCCAGCGCTAAACGCTCCAGGCTTGCGAAATAGCAATATGGCCACGTCATGTCAGGGCTGGCGCACGTACGGTAACCTCCCACGAAACAATCGGCCCTCCAGCAGCACAGACGTGGAGGACGACAAGACGGGGCTGACCTGGCACTACCCGAGGCGGGCGGGGGACTGCCGGGAGGGCAACGCAGAACGAAACGGGATGAGCAGGCGATCGCAGACATGGAGCAAGGGGGCGTGGATCAGCGACGGGTCCCATTTGCATGGGAAATCGCGGATTTCCGCCGCCGAACGAGGCGGCACCGGCCGCACTTTGGGGAGGGCACCTCCCCCGATCCATGCTTGCGCGCCCCCGAGTCTATGCGTCAGGGCCCAGTCCGATTCGATCTGTCCCATTCGGCTTCGAGTCCGCCGGGCTCGATACGATGCGATCTTGACTTTTCAGCCATCCGATACAGCCAGGTTCTCGCAAGGCTTAAGCTGTGCGCCCTGGCGCAGCCGATCCGATTCCGTGTCGATTCCGTGCATCCGATTCGCCCGGGTTCTTTTCTTCGATGTTGACTTTTGTTGTCAGCTGTGAGCGCTGCCCCCCATGCGCCGTCTCTGGGCCGGCAGATATTTTCCCTCGACGCGCAAGGGGTTGGCGCGGGGGGGCGGTCTAGACCGCAGGGGGTTTCTTAGAATGCAAGGGTTATGATGTTCCAACCTAATTTAGCCTTGATCGCCAGAAGGAATTTCGAGCACCGAAAGTACTGACATTACATGTGGATGGTTTTCGCGCGTCGGGCCCTGGGAGGCGATACTCGTTCGACATTGTTTCGATACTTTTCTGGGTGCTCGAAACTATTTCTGGGATATGGTCCTTAAGTACGATGGGAACGACGTAAGGCAGGGGGCCTTCTTAGAAGGCCCTAATGTGACAAGGCTTCAATGAAGCTGGGAAGGCTTCTAGGAGGCCTCCTGCTTGTTTGTGGCCTCTTCCGCCTTCTTGGAAAAACGCGCCCTTCTCGTGCCATTCCCTGGTCACTGATCTCCAGTCGGGCCTGTCCCTTACAGGAGAAACATTCAAAAATAGTCGGAAAGTAATATGGGGACGATTGTTTTAGCATGTTTTGGTTATTGCTGATGTTTTTTTGTGGTATTTTTAATTTTTCGCCCAAAATCCCCCTGTGCGGGGACATGCCCGACCTAACACTGATACGCAGCTGCCCATCAGTAAAGGCTTGCCCCATGTACAGTGGAAGCCCATGCCAAGAAGCACCCTGCTTGCCTCCAGGGTGCCCTGGGTTCCTCGGGTTTCGATGGTTTTTGCGGTGGAAGGCGTGACGTTCCCCCACCACAAACCCATGGACGTCCTGGGGTCTCAGGGTTGGGCTTCTTGTGGAAGGTTGGTGGTCGAGCTCCCACTGTAAGAGCGAATCTGAGGGTGTCTCCGACTCGGTCGTTTCGGCTGCCTGGCAGTCGGCTGCGCTCGGCTGGTGCGGTTTTTGGTCAGTGGCCGTGCCGCTGCGTCCGTCCAGGCCGTGTTCGGTGCGAAGGGTTCTGGTTCCCTGCCTCCTCCTCCGCCGCCTCCCCGTCCTCCTCCTCGTCCTCCTCCTCCTCCTCCTCCTCCTCCTCCTCCTCCTCCTCCTGCTCCTCCTGCTCCTCCTCCTCCTCCTCCTCCTCCTCCTCGTCGTCCTCCTCCTCCTCCTCCTCCTCTTCTCGTCCTCCTCGTCCTCCCCCTCCCAGCTTGGCTGCCAGCGCTCCGCCGTGCTTAGTTTATGTTTTTGTTGCCAGATAGTTGTGCAAGTTGGGAGACAGCGGTTCTTGGAGGATGCATGTCTCTGAGGCCGTCGGCACCCCACGACCATAGGGCCCAGCACTTGCCAACCTGAGCTTCGTTCGCACAACGTCATGCAGGCGACGCAATGGGCAGAATCTAAAATATAATCCTCCTCCCCCTCCTCCTCGTCCTCGTCCTCCTCCTCCTTATTCTCCTCCTCCTCCTCCTCCTCCTCTTCGTCCTCCGCCTCCTCCTCCTCCTGCTCCCGGTCGTCCTCCTCCTCCTCTCCTCCTCCTCCCCTCCTCCTCCTCCTCCTCGTCGTTCGTCCTCGTCCTCCTCCTTCTCCTCCTTCTCCTCTTCTCCTCCTCTTCGTCCTCCGCCTCCAGGTCTCCCTCCTCCTCCTCCTCCTCCTCCCTCCTCCTCCTCCTCCTCCTTCTGGTCCTCCTCCTCCTCATCCTTCTCCTCATCTTCCTCCTCCTCACCTCCTCCCCTCCTCCTCCTCCTCCTCCTCCTCCTCCTCCGTTCGTCCTGTCCTCGTCCTCTTCCTCGTCCTCCTCCTCCTCCTCCTCCTCCTCCTCCTCCTCTCCTCCTCCTCCTCCTCCTCCTCGTTCGTCCTCGTCCTCCTCCTCCTCTTCGTCCTCCGCCTCCGGGTCTCCCTCCTCCTCCTCCTCCTCCTCCTCCTCCTCCTCCTTCTCCTTCCGGTCCTCCTCCTCCTCCTCCTCCTCCTCCTCCTCCTCCTCCTCCTCCTCCTCCTGGCTGCTGAAGAGGGAGAGGACAGAGGCGGGCCAGCAGCAGGGGCAGGGGGAGAGGAGCAGCACGGTGTCCACACAGGTCGGCTCGCGCACCCGATCCGGCGCGGCGCCCGGACGACAGAGGGGCGCGCCCTGTCGACGGCCTGCGGCCTCTGGGCCACTAGGGGGGTGGGAGAGGCGGAGGGGGGGCGGAGGAAGGAGGGAGCGGGGAGGGGGAAAGGGGAGGATGCGGGCCGTCCGGCCTCGGCGCCGGGCCCGCCGACCCTGCCAGCAAGCGGGGGCTGGTGCCGCTTCTGAAGTATACGCCCCGCTGAATTAATCACCGCGCCCCCCCGGGCAGGCAGACGGGGACGAGAGACGACCAGACGGAGGACGGGGACGGGCGAGAGGAGCGAGAGAGGCCACGGAGCCAGGAGAAACAGGAGAGCACGAGGAGGGAGGGACGAGGGACACGGGACATGGAGGAGGGAGAGCAGGCAAGCAGCGCAGAGAGCAGAGGGAGGGGGGGCGCGGGGGTGAAGTTGATTGATAAACACTACTGGGAAGGGGCTTAGCGGCGGGCCCGGCCGCGGCCCACCCCGTGGGCAGGGGATTGCCAAGGCCTCCCGCGCGGGCCGGCGCTGCTGAGCAGCATCGCCGCCGTGCCGCGCGCGGCGGCCACGACCACGCGCTGCCTCGCGTCGGCCAGGGCCGCGGCCCTGGTCTCCGGGTCCGCCGGGGCGTGCTCGCGGAGGAACGAGTGGAACTCGCGCCCCAGGCGGCCGCCGCTCTCCACCACCGCGGCCATCAGGCCAGGGCCAGGGTAGCGGGAGTGCTTCTCCTGTTCCCGCTCCCGGGCCGCTGCGCCGGCGACGCGGGCGCGCCGGCGTGCGGTCGCGCCCTCGGCGGCGATGGCCTCAGTCACGCTCGTGTCGATGCACGCGCCCGCCTGGGTACGCCAGGACCACGTCGAGGACGGCTGCTTGGGTGCCCCTTGCGGTCACTGCGTCCCAGGCCGGGATGCGCTGCTTGATCGTCGCGGACTGCGTGCCATGGCGCTCCGCCAGCCAATCGCCCAGCTGGTCGCGGACGCCGTGGTGCCGGCGCGCGAAGCCAGGCCCGACATGGCAGACGGCTGCGTGCCTGGCGTGGGGCCCCGCCGTGCTGGCCCCGCACTGCGCGCCCGTGGACGCGGCCGTGTTCTGGCACGGGGCGCCGCCCTGGCCCGCTGGGTCGAGGTACAGCAGGCGCCGCCGCAACGTGACCGCGAACTCGTCGTCTCCCAGGAGGTGCTGCGGCAAGCTCGGCGGCTGCAACACCGCTGCGCCGGTCCCACCCTGGGACAGGAGGAGCGCCGCCGCTGGCTCGGAGAGGCGCGCCTGGAACTCGGCGTGCGCGCGGGCCGCCAGCTGCTTCGTGTAGACGCGTTGCTTGACCTGGCGCCGCGGGTCCAGCGGGACCAGTGCCCCCCCTGCCCGGAGGCGAGACTTCGCCTCCGCCACAGCCGCCGTCAGCTTCGGCGTCGCGGCTTCTGCCTCCGCCAGGCTCGGCTTCTCCTGTCGCACCCGGACCCCGTCCTGCACTGCGTGCCAGGGGCCCAGCCAGGCCGCGTCGGCGCGGCGCTCTGCGGAACCGAAGCCGGCCCCCCCTGCCTTGGCGGGTAGGAAGAGAGCCGCGCGGCCGTCCTCGGCGAGGCCCGGGCCGACCAGGCGCTCGACCTGCGCCACCACCGCGTCGTCGAAAGAGCGCCAGGCCCCCCGCGACGCAAGGCGGGCGCGCTGCAGGTGCGTCACCGCGCCGTTCACGTAGGTGCGGAGGAGGCTGAAGCAGTGCTGCTTCTCGAGCCCCGCCGCCTCCAGCTTTGCGAGCGCCCCCCCGTAGTCGGCGAGCCGCGCGGCCGAGGTGGCCGGGGAGGTCTCGTCGAACACCTCTGCGAGCGTATCCCTCCACTCCTGGTCGTCCGCGTCGTGCCGGGCCCTGACGAAGTCACGGTGCTGCCCAGGCAGGGCATCGCGGCGACCTGGCCATCTGGGCACCGGACCTTCGTCTTGCTCGTGTTCAGCTCGAGGCCCAAGTCGGCACAGAGAGCGCTTGCCTTTTCCAGCGCCTGGTGCAGGTGGGCCTTCGGCACCGTCAGGTAGGCGTCGTCCAGGTAAGCCCACACCTTGCAGCGAGGGTCCAGGGTGCTTAGGAAGTCCCGCAAGGCGGAGAGCTCCGGGGCGAGGACGATGCTAAAAAGCGCTGGGCTGAAGGGGCACCCTTGGTCGAGGCCCTCCTGCTGCTCCACCAGGTGGGACACCCCGCCGGCCCCCGCGGCAGAGTTCACCGTCGCGCGGCCGTACCACTGCACCACCAGGTCCTCCAGCTCCGGGCAGCGCTCCCGCACGCGGCGCAGCACCGCCCTCCGACGCAGACGGGTGAGCGCGCTCTTGAGGTCCAGCGACGCGAAGGCCAAGTCTGGGCATTGTTCTGCATCTGCGGAGATGCTCTTGTGCAGCGTCTCGAGCCCACACGGGACACCGACCCCATACTGAAGCTCGGAGACAACCCTCTGGATGCTGTCGGAGCGGACGGTGCACACGGCCCTGGCCACCATGCGCCGCGCGATGGCCCCGCATGCTAACACTCTCGTGCCACCGTCCTTCATGGCCGTGCCCAACAGCTTGCCTGCCAGAGCTATGTCTAGGGCCTCCGCCGGGACGGCGCCCCCCAGCAGCAGCGAGAGCACTGCCGCTGTGGCCGCGCCCCGTGCTTCGAGGTGCGCGAGCGGCTGCCCGTGCTCGAACCGGTCGCCCTGCACCCCCGCGCCGGCGCCTCGGGGTGTCTTGGTCCATTTGTTCGTCAGGTAGGCCTGGACGTCTTCTCGGAGCCACGCGGCCGCCACGGGGTCGGGCGCACCCCCGGGGTTGTACGGTGGGTCCCGCTGCGGCGGGTGTTGCTGCTGCCCGAACGCCCGGAGCGTATCCGCAGCTGTAGCCCACCGGCCAGGCCCCCACGCTGCAGAGGCAGCCCAGGAGATCTCGCCCTTCAGCAGGAGCCGGCGGAGCTTCCGCACCGTCGTGCCCATGGTGCTGGGGCCGGCTGCGGCTTTGGTGGACACAGCTGTGTCCCGGAGTAGGGCCTCCCACCTGCCATCCCAAAAGTCGCGGAGACGGCCGGCCACCCTCTCAGCCACGCTGCGCGGCTGCACCTCGCCTTCCTCGAACAGCTCCCTGAAGATCATCCGATCGAAGGCGAGAAAACACCTCCAGGCACCCAGCTTTCCCTCATCGGTGGTGGCGTCGAGCACGGCCTGGGCGGAGGCCTCCGGCGCTTCCCCGACGGCCAGCTTCAGGGAGCCTGGCACGTCCTGGAGGGTCTCCTCCTCCTCCTCCTTCCGGTCCTCCTCCTCGTCGTCCTCCTCCTCGTCCTCCTCCTCATCGTCCTCCTCCATCTCCTCATCTTCATCGTCACCTCCATCGCCACCCACCTGTCAGCAGCAGCAGCAGCAGCAGCACCCGCGCCGCCCTCGCCGTGCTCGCCCCCGGGGTGCCGCGGGGGGCAGGTCGCACCCGCGGCACGTCTTCCGGGAGTCGGTGCGAGCCCGCCGCGCGGAGGGCCTCGCTCTCTCCGTCCCCTTCGGCGCCGGGAGCCTAGGGGGCCTCCTCCTCCTCCTCTTCCTCCTCTTCCTCCTCCTCCTCCTCCTCTTCCTCCTCCTCCTCCTCCTCCTCTTGCTCCTCGAGGTCCTCCTCCTCCTCCTCCTCGTCCTCCTCCTCGTCCTCCTCCTCCTCGTCGCCCTCCTCCTCTTCTTCGTCACCTCCATCGCCACCCACTTGTCAGCAGAAGCAGCACCCGCACCGCCCTCGCTGTGTTCGCCCCTGGGGGGCGCAGCAGGAACTGGGATCAAGGGTTCGGGACGATCGGCATGGGCACGGAAACGGGGGAACAAACAATGCCGTAATCATCAACATTCGGAGGTGCGCTCGTATTTTTCGGATCGGCGCTGACTGAGGATGAGGAAGATGCTGATGATGCTGCTGATGATGATGATGATGATGATGCTGATGATGAATATGATGCTGATGATGATGCTGCTGATGCTGATGCTGATGATGATGCTGATGCCGATGTTCATTTTGGTACTGATAATGATGATGATGATGCTGATGCTGATGCTGATGTTGATGCTGGTATTAATGATGCTGCTGCTGCTGATGATGATGATGATGATGATGTTTTGATTCTGCTGATGATGCTGATGATGATGCTGATGAAGATGATGAGGAGGTTGATGAATCTGCGGAGGATGAGGACGAGGAGGATGATAATGAGGATGAGGTTGATGACGAGGAAGATGCTGCTGATAATGCTGATGCTGATGATGATGATGATTATGCTGCTGATGATGCTGCTGATGATGCTGATGCTGATGCTGATGCTGATGATGATGATGATTATGATGATTGTAATGATGCTGCTCATGATGATATGATGACGCGGATGGCGATGACGATGTTGTTATTGATGTAATGGTGATGCTTAAGATGATGATGTATGATGATGGGGATGCAGATGCTGATGCTGATGATGATGGTGATGATGACGATGACGATGCCGACGATGATCATGCTGCTGATGATGATGACGATGTTGATGTTGATGCTGATGATCATGATGATGATGCTGATGATGTTGATGGCGACGACGATGATGATGATGCTGATGCTGCGGCTGATGATGATGATGATGATGACCGCGATCATGATGATGCTGTTGATGATGCTGCTGATGATGATGCTGATGCTGATGTTGATGCCGATTATGATGATGATGAGGATGATGATGCTGATGATTATGATGATGCTGATGATGCTGCTGCTGATGATGCTGATGATGATGATCAAGATGATAATGATGACGACGACGACGACGACGATGATGATGCTGCTGCTGATGATGATGATGTTGACGATGATGATGATGATGATGTTGCTGATGATGCTGATGATGATGATGATGATGATGATGATGATGATGATGATGATGATGATGATGATGATGATGATGATGATGATGATGATGATGATGATGCGAGCGCCCGCTGCACAGGCGAGAACAATGCCACGCTAAGCTCAATTGCGCACCACTGCTAGGGGTCCTCGGGCCTCCTCCGCAAGAGTTCCATGCAGGCACACCTCAAAACGCGATATGAAATGGCAGCGAGGCGCTAGCCCCACGGCGGCCTAGACGGGCCCCTCGCTCTCCAGCGTGTCGCTGTGCAGCCAAGCAGACTCGAGCGCTTCCCCCGTCGTCTGAGCCGTCCAATATCCGCTTGTCCTCCCCGTAGATGGCCTCCAGTTGTGAGATTCGGTACAAAATCATGCCCCGCTTGGCCGCGCGGGTACCATCCCACTTCATGGTGGTCTCGATGCCCTTCGTGGCGTTCTCCAGGCTCTCCCAGAAGTCCATCACGCAAGTTTGCAGAGGAGGTGGCGTGGCGGGGTCGTCGTCCGCCTCCGCAGCCGCCGACGCCGCCATGAGCTCCCCCTTGTGCATCGCCTCCGCGCCGTGCTCTTCCTCGTGCTCGATCGTGCCCACGAGCGCCTCCTCGGGCCGTCTGATATGGGGGCCGCCCGCTAGCCACTCCGTGGCGATCTCAGCACGGGCGTTCCACATCGCCATGCTGGTGCCGCGCTGAATTCCGAACTGTAGCTGATCGCGTGCGGGCTCCGCTTCAGCGTCAGCTCCGTCTCGCATTTGCCACTGCATGCCAGCCGCGCCCTGCTTCACCGCGAGCTCGTGCGTCGCGATCGTGCCATGATCCCTGAGCTCCTGATCGAACAAGGGGAAAGGCGGCACCGCTAACAGGGGGTCGTGGCCATCCGATTCCGTCCCGATCGCGCCGTCGTGCAACGCGTCGGTCCCGGCGGCCTTTCGCGGCTTCCGCGGCAGCGACGCCCGCACCCGCGCGCGAGATGGCCGAGTCGGGCGGGGACTCGGCCAATGTCCGTGCGGGTGGGGCGCCGCCCTCAGCAGGCCTGCCCGAGCTAGGGATGTCACCCCGCCTGCGGCGAGGCCAGCCGCCGACAGCGCGGGGCGCGCCACGAGCATGGGCCCTTTCTGGGCTCGGCGTAGCGAGCACGCCGTCGCCGTCCCCAGCGGCCAGGGCGCCAACGCCGCGTGGAGCGCCACGTTCCTCCGCAGCGTGTCGGCGGGTGGCTCGATGGCCTTGCCGTGCACCATGTCCTTCAGGTGCACCGCCACCACCGCCAGGCGCTCCGCCGTGTCGGGGTCCACTAGCGACTCCACCAACTTCTCGTGGCGTCCCCGCCAGAAGCGCACCGCCCGCTGCAGGTCGTGGACGAGCACGTCCCCCGACCAACGGGCCCACGCCTGGCCAGCTCAGCGCCTCTGCCGTCGTGCCGCACACGGGCTGCACGCATCGCCGCCAGCGGCGGCCTCCCGCGAGGGGGCCGCCTCCCGCGCAATCACAAAACTGCACCAGCCGCCCGATGGGAGAGCTGGCCCGAAGGCTTGAGCCAAAATGGCTACAGATGCGGATGCTGATGCTGGTGGTGATAGTGATGATGGTGATGATGATGACGATGACGATGACGATGATGATGATGATGATGATGATGATGATGATGATGATGCTGATGATAATGATGATGATGATGATGATGATGATGATGATGATGATGATGATGATGATGATGATGATGATGATGATAATACTGTTGAGGATGATGATGATGATGCTGACGATTATGATGGTGATGATGATGACGATGATGATGATGGTGATACTGATACCGATGCTGATACTGATGATGGTGATGATGATGATGAGGAGGAGGAGGTTGAGGAGGATGAGGAGTAAGAGGATGAAGGTGTTGAGGATGAGGATGAGGATGAGGGAGAGTATGGTGATGCTGCTGATGCTGATGCTGATGGTGATGATGATGAGGAGGAGGAGGATAATAATCATGGTGCTGATGATGCTGATGGTGATGATGATGCGGTCTCTGCTGGTGATGCTGATGGTGAGGATGATGCGCTCTCTGATGATGCTGATGGTCATGGTGATGCTGATGATCATGATGCTGATGATGATTATGTTTATGCTCACGACGATGATGATGCTGACGATGCTGATACTGATGAAGCTGATACTGCTGATTATGATGATTATGATGGTGATGCTGATGATGCTGCTGCTGATGATGATGATGATGCTGATAATGACGATGATGATGCTGATGAGGTTGCGGTTGCTGATGATGATGATGATGATGATGATGATGTTGATGATGTTGTTGACGACGATGCTGATGCTGCTGCTGATGATGATGACGGTGGTGATGATGGTGGTGGTGATGATGCTGATGCTGACGATGATGATGGCGATGTTGATGCAGCTGCTGATGATGCTGTTGATGGTTGTGATGATGAGGAGGAGGATGAGGATGACGATGATGATAATGATGATGATGCTTCTGACTCTGCTGATGATGCTGCTGATGATGATGCTTATGCGGATGATGATGATGATGATGATGACGATGGTGATGCTGACGACGATGCTGATAGTGCTGATGTTAATCATGATGATGCTGATACTGATGATGCTGATGCTGGTGGTGGTGGTGGCGATGCTGCTGATGCTGACGATGCTGATGACGATGATCATGCTGCTGATGATGCTGACGATCATGATGATACTGATGATCATGACGATAATGCTGCGGCTGATGGTACTGATGATGATGATGCTGATGCTCATGATGATGATATGGATGGTCATGACTAGCTGACAATTTTGATGATGATTCTGCTGTTGATGATGATGCACCTGATTGTGATGAGGACAGTGCCATTATGGTATGATGATGCTATGATGCTGATCACGCTGATGCTGATGATGATGCTGCTGCTGATGATGATGCTGATGATGATGCTTCTGCTGCGGCTGCTCATGATAATGACGACTATACTGATGCTGATCATGTTGCTGCTGCTGCTGATGATTAAGTTCATGATGCTGGTGACGATGATGATGAGGATGATGATTACGATGCTGATCATGATGATGATGATGATGATGATGATGATGATGATGATGATGATGATGGTGTTGATGGTGCTGATGATGATGACGACGATGATGATGACGATGCTGGTGTTGATGATGTTGATGATGCTGATGATGATGATGATGACGATGCTGCTGCTGTTGATGAAGCTGCTGCTGCTGATGATGCTGCTGATGCTGATGCTGATGATGATGAAGATGAAGATGAGGATGAGGATGCGGATGATGATGATGCTGATGATGATGCTGATGCTGATGCTGATACTGATGCTGATGCTGCTGATGATGATGAGGATGCTGATGCTGATGCTGCTGATGATGATGCTGCTGACGACGATGATGATGATGATGATGAGGATGTTGATGAGTATGATGATGATGACGATGATGATGATGCTGATGATGCTCCTGATGTTGATGATGATGATTCTGATGCTGCTGATGATGATGATGATGATGATGCTGATGCTGATGCTGAAGATCAGGATGATGAGGATGATGAGGATGATGATGGTGGTCATGGATGAGGAGGAGGAAGGAACATGGAGGACCCTGAGGCGACGCACAAGAGGATGAGCAGGATAACGATGATCGAGGAGATCTTATGAGAGCCAGGAGCAGGACGAGTGGCGGGAGCAGGCGGGGGAGGAGGCGGAGGAGAGGGACAGCGGCGGCGGATCTGGCACCAAACAGAAGACTAACACACGAACCTTGGAATGGGAGGGGGAGGAGGAGGAGGAGGAGGAGGAGGAGGAGGAGGAGGAGGAGGAGGAGGAGGAGGCGGAGGCGGAGGCGGAGGCGGAGGAAGATGAGGAGGAGGAGGAGCAGGAGCCGGTTGAGGTCGAGGAGGAGGACGAGTGGGAGGAAGGAGGATGAGGAGGAGGATGATGATGAGGACGAGGACGACGAGGTGGAGGAGGATGAGGGAGATGAGGACGAGGAGGAGGAGGAGGAGGAGGAGGAGGAGGAGGAGGAGGAGGAGGATGGGGAGGCGGAGGCGGAGGCGGCGGCGGATGCGGAGGAGGCGGAGGAGGAAGAGGAGGGGAGGAGGAGAAGGAGGAGGAGGATGAGGATGAGTGGAAGGATTATGATGATCATGATGCTGATGATGTTGATGATGATGGTGGTGGTGGTGATGATGCTGCTGATGCTGATGATGCTTATGACGATAATACTACTGGTAATGATGATGGTGATGCTGATGATGATGGTGGTGGTGGTGATGCTGATGATGATGTTGCTGTTGATGATGACGACTACGATGTGGAGGACGCTGATTCGCATGACTACGATGCTGGTGGAGTTCATGACTAGAGTGGTGGTGATGCCAAGGGAGGAAGAGGAGAAGGAGGAGGGTGAGGATGAGGGGAATGATGATGATGATGATGATGATGATGATGATGATGATGATGATGATGATGATGATGATGCTGTTGCTGATGATGATCATGATGCTGCTGACGATGATGATGATGATGACGATCATTTTTATGATGATGATGATGCTGATGAATACGATGATGATCATGATGCTGCTGCTGACGATGCTGATGGTGATGGTGATTGTGATGGTGATGTTGGTGATGATGATGATGCTGATGACGATGCTGCTGGTGATGATGCTGGTGCTGATGATGCTGATGCTGATGCTGATGATGATGGTGATGGTAGCGATACCGACGATGCTGATGCTGATGCTTCTTATGATGATGATGCGGATGCTGATGATGATGAGGATGCTCATGCTGATGATGATGGTGATGATGTTGGTGTCGATGATGCTGTTGCTGACGATTATGATGATGATGCTGATGCTGATGCTGATGCTGATGATTGTGATGCTGGCGCTGATGCTGATGCTGCAGATGAGGATGATGATGATGATGATGATGATGATGATGATGAGGATGCTGATGCTGATGCTGATGCTGATGATGATGATGCTGCTGCTGATGATGATGATGAGGATGTTGATGAGTATGATGATGATGATGATGACGATGATGATGATGCTGATGATGCTCCTGATGTTGATGATGATGATTCTGATGCTGCTGTTGCTGATGCTGCTGCAGCTGCCGATGCTGATGATGCTGATGCTGATGATGATGATGCTGATGAGGCTGATGATGATGCTGATGATGATGATGCTGATGATGATGCTGCTGCTGATGATGATGGTGATGCTGATGATGCTGATGATGATGATGATGATGATGATGATGATGATGCTGATGCTGATGATGATGATGATGATGATGATGAGGAGGAGGAGGAGGAGGAGGAGGAGGAGGAGGAGGAGGAGGAGGAGGAGGAGGAGGAGGAGGAGGAGGAGGGAGGAGGAGGAGGAGGAGGAGGAGGAGGAGGAGGAGGAGGGGGAGGAGAGGAGGGGGAGGAGGAGGGGGAGGAGGAGGAGGAGGAGGAGGAGGAGGAGGAGGAGGAGGAGGAGGAGGAGGAGGAGGAGGAGGAGGAGGGAGGAGGAGGAGGATGAGGAGGAGGGAGGAGGAGGCGGAGGCGGAGGCGGAGGCGGAGGAGGAGGGGGAGGAGAAGGAGGAGGAGGAGCAGGAGGAGGAGGAAGAAGAGGAGGCACGAGCCATCGCGCCACTAATTAATCAGAATCGTCCGAATGGCCCCTCGTGGGGATAGTGCGAGAGACAAGGGCACCGTCGCACTCGGACCTACCAACATGGCCAGGGAGACACCAACGGGGCCGCAGCGGCTCGAGGCGGAAGCACCATTATCTTTGCGCAACTCGGCCACCGCGCACTTCACCCCCGTTCTGAAGCGCTCCCCCCTCTCCGAACAGGGCACCCCGACGCTGGGGTCAGCACAAGCGGACACAGGCACACCCTCGCGAGACTCGACGATCTTCGCGTCAGTCCTGGGGTGCTTGCCCTGCTCCATTCTACGCACAGCCATCTTCTGATTGGCCGAGGTGGAAGGGACCTTGGATGGACCTTCACAGCTGGACGCCAGTTTGCGGAAGCTGCCTAAAGCGCCGTGGGCCCCGTTCTTGCGATACATGAGAAGTGACTTTGCCCCACGGCAAACGGGTCATGCTCGAGGCTGCGGAGCGAATCAAGAACTTCTCCCCCGCTCTCGGGCGTGGGCGGCACGTCAGTCTTGCTGGCGTCAGCGTCCCCGCGAAACACCTGCTCAGCCGCACCCGGAGCAACCCGCACAGCCTCCGCACGCCAAGCCGAGACACGAGAACCCTCCGCCCCGCGGAACCAGGCGTCGCACGCGTTCCGCTGCACTCTGGAAGGCTCGCAAAGCTTGCTACCGCCGTGCGGTAGTAGAGCTCCCAGAGGCAAACGAGACGAAGCTTGCCTGCCACACTGCTGGCAGCGCCACACATGCTTACCAGTTTCCTTCCAGATGTCATTGCCTGTGGCAGCGATGGGTAAGGTGTGGAAGGGGTGGAGCGCAAACATTGGGGTCCAAGACTGTCCAACTACCATCAGACAGCAACTCCTGTGCGGCCCAGGCGAAACATCTGATCGTACTTTTGTGGAAACCCAACTCCCCTTGGATCGCTTTCGCAAAGCCGTCGGCGAAAACATGCGAGCCAGATCCGAGCCTGGCAAACAAGTCAGCCCAACAGTTCCCAGCCCACGCTACGACACACGACCCCTGGGCCAGAACCTCATCAAAACTCCTGTGGGCTGGGCACCACACGAACTGAGGCCGCTTGGGAACGGCCAACTGAACAATCGACCTCCGTATGCCAGCGTGCTTGGACGTGCCAAGCGCCTGCTCGGGATACCATGCATTACCCTCACGCGCTGCCGCCTGCAAATCAGGAAACAGAAAACAGCTCTTCGTGTGAGGGGTGCCTCGCGAGCGCCTGGCGAACAGCCCAGCGCTCCGTTCCCCCAATGGTCTGCCTGGGGCCCGGGAGAGCGCCGTACGAGGCCCTACTCGGGAGGTGGGCCTCGTTGACCTTCACAGCCGCCCAGCCAGCCCTGGCAACCTCGGGCATCGAGCTCAGGAGGCAACTTCCAGCAAGACAGGAGGCAGGGCCCCAAGACCCCCCAGCGCCTCCAAACGGCAGCATCCCGCCCTCAGCTTGCCCAGACAGCCTGGGAACCCCATACGTAGTGCACACGCTGTCCACCCGAGGGGCAGCAGCAGCGGCACGGTTGAGGCTTATACACTAAGGGCTTCACGGTGCTCAGCTAACTGCTCGGGAGTAGCGTTCTCACTCGGGTCCTCACTCTGCTCAACCAACTTCGGACACGCATACCATACATGGCTGTGTAGCCCGTCAGCATCACCACCTACCATGCACATGGCCTGCCTGTTGTAACCTTTCTGCGCACGGTTGAAGGGCAGAGGTACGACATCTGCCCATACGGCTGCTGGCGCCCCGCCCTGCCCGGGACACGTGACACTCCTGGCGCATTGGGCGCTGCGTAATGGGGGGGTCATAAATGGGGGGGCGGCGAGGGTGGTCCGAAAAGGTACCCAAACGGTACCTAAACGAGCCCCCTGGGGGTCCAGAGGGGCCCGAAAGGGGCACGAAAGGGGACCGTTTCTGACCCCCCCATTTGTGACCCCCCCATTAAGCCACGCCCAAGCGCAGCAACGCAGAGCTCTGGCCCATGGCACGAACGCCCGGCCGCGGCCGTTCGCTCGGCCCCCTCCGCGCCCGGGCCTGCGCCCGCCGTGGCGGCGCCCCCTGGGGGGGGTGCCTCGGCTCCCGGCCGCGGCCTCTCTGCGGCCGATGTGCCCCCGCTGTTCTGACGCGGCCACGGAGGCGGAGGAGGAGGCGGAGGAGGAGGAGGAGGAGGAGGAGGAGGAGGAGGAGGAGGAGGAGGAGGAAAAGGAGGAGGAGGAGGAGGAGGAGGACGAGGAGGCGGCGGAGGAGGACGAGGAGGCGGCGGAGGAGGAGGCAGGGAAGCGGAACCGACGCACCGAACGCGGCCTGGACGGACGCAGCGGCACGGCCACCGACGGAATCGCACCGACCGAGTGCAGCCGACGGCCAGGCAGCCGAAACGACCGAGGCGCAGGCGCTCTCAGATTCGCTCTTAGAGTGGGGTCTCGACCCCAAGAAATCTTCCACAAGAGCCACAACCCGGAGACCCCAGGACGTCCATCGATGTTTCGGGGGTGCCCTCGCGGGCGCGCCCAGGGCGCGGCGACCCGGCGTCACGCGAACAGGTCGGCCAAGTAGTCGTCGAACTCGTCCTCGCGCGCGCGGGCGTCGGGGTCCGGGCCGCGCCAGGCCAGCGCCTCCAGCTGCCGCCTCTCCTCCTCGCTCGGCCTCTCGGGCGCCGCCGCCCCTCCCTCGCCGCCCTCGCCGCGGCCCGCGGCCCTACCGCCCGCGCCCTCCACGGCGCCCTCCTCGCCGCTGCCGGCCTCGCCGCTGCCGGGCGGGCCCTCCTTTTTGTCCGCCGGCTGCCGGCGCGTTTTCCTCCTCCTTCTCCTCCTCCTCCTCCTCCTCCTCCTCCTTCTCGACGCTCGTCTTGCGTCGTCCTGGCCGCCTCCTCGGGGCTTCACCAGCGCCTCCCTGCTGCCTCCTCGTGGTCTCGTCGTCGCTCTCCTGCCGCTGCTGCTGGTGCTCCTCCTCCTCCTCCCCCTCCTCCTCCTCCTCCTCCTCCTGGTTGCCGCCCTCCTCTGGGCTCCCTCAGCGCCTCCCTGCTGCCTCCTCGTGGTGCTGTTGTTTTCCTGTTGCTGCTCCTCCTCCTCCTCCTCCTCCTCGTCAGCCTCCTCTTCCTCCTCCTCCAGGTCGCCCTCCCTCGCCTCGTCGTCCTCGGTGCCCGCCGCATGTCCTGGCGCCTCACGCGCCGGCCGCCGCCGCCGCCGCCTCCACCGCCGACGCCGCCGCCAGGCGGGCCGGGGTCGCACCTGGCCGCGGGCGCTGCAGGCGCTGCAGGATGGCCCGCGCGTTCTCCCTGTGCACGGAGATCGAGAGTCGCTGGGCCATCCTGTCCGCCGTGCTGGCGGCCTCCTCCCCGCGCGCGTCGGCAGCGCGTTTGGCCAGCACGGCGAAGGCGCGTCGCGCCTCGCCGCCCCAGCTCCCGCCGTGCGCCTCCACCGCCATCGGAATGAAGGTGAGGTCGGCGTCGCGACAGGCCTTCGCCGTGCCTTGGTGCTGCCGCTTGTGCTCCTCGTGCCGGTCGAGGGCGGCGGCCGGGTCGGCGGCGGAGTGCGCGATGAGGTCTGCGCGCAAGCCCGACGTCACCGCGAAGTCAAGGGCGGCTGGGAGCCCGGCGCGCCATCGGGGGACGTAGACATCCGCCGGCCGGCGGTCGTCGTTGTCTAGTCCGTCGCCGTCTGGCTCCTCGGCGCTCGGCCCCTCGCCAGGCGCCCGCGGCGGAAGCAGTCCAGGCCGCTCCAGCTCCGCCCCCGAGAAGCCGGCGGCCTGGGCGGCGAAGAAAGTGCCGTTCCGCAGCTTGTTGTGGCGGCGCGTGCGGTCGCCCTGGCAGGCGCACGTCAAGGCGTGGTCGCAGTACACGTCCATGACTTCTCCGCACGCCGGGCAGAAAACCTCTTCGTCCATCGATGTTTTGGTGTGGTGGCGTCACGCTTCCCACTGCAGAACCATCAAAATCCAAAACACCCAGGGCATCCTGGAGGCAAACAGGGTGTCTCTTGGCATGGGTCCCCACTGTATGGGGGAGGGGGGAAAGCTTCTTAGAAACACCCCCTACCTCTTGGGACCTTACGGGGGTGTCGTGGGCCGCCTTGTTGCTCTCTTGCGCCGTCTGGCCCTTGCGGAAGCCGTCGGGGCCGCTTTGTTGCTCTCTTGAGGTCGTCTTGGGCCATCTTGGCAGCCTCTTGAGCCGTCTTGGGGGCCTCTTTGGGATATCTTGAGGCCCCGTAGGGCCCTCCTGGGGCCTTTTTGGGACCATCTTGGAGGCTGCTTGGGCCATCATGGACCCCCGAGTTTCGAAGAGGGCGAGAACGCGACGCTCTGGCAACACCCCGGGGAAAGAAACACTGCCTGTTGGCCTCTGGAGGTGCTACTGGGGCTCCCTTGGAGCCTTCTGGGGCCCCTGTTGGGCCATCTCGGGCCGTCCTGGGGCCTTCCTCGGGCCGTCTGAAGGTCATGCTGAGCCGTTTGGGGGCCCTGCTGGACCCCCAAGAGGCCCCAGAGGCCGAAACCATATGTTCTCTCCACACGTTCTGGTACGTTTGTGGGCCCGAGACGCGGGGGGGGGGCATTGACAGTGGGGGCCCATGCCAGGAAACACCCTGCTTCCCTTCAGGGTGCCCTGGGTTTTCTTTGGTTTTGAGGGTTTTGCGATGGGAAGCGTGACGTCTTCACACCAAAACTTCGACGGACGTCCTGGGGTCTCAGGGTTGGGTTTCTTATAGAAGCTCTCTTGTGGTCCCGCCCCTACTGTACATGTGCATCAGTTGAGGCGGCCCGGCTCGCCCGGCCTCGTTCAACAGGCTTGCACCACGTCCGCCGAGTTCCATGAAGCCCGCAGAACTGGAGTCACGACGGGCCCGAACGAGGAAGCCAACGCGCGAATATCCCGAAACGTCCGCGTGGCGTGGTCGGGGGGGGGGGTGCTCGGCCGGCTGGGAACCCGCGGGGAGGGCTTTCTCAGCCCTTTCGGAGGCGAGCTGCCAACCCACCCCGACCCAACCCGAAGGCCCCGATTTGCCCTCCATTTCCAGTGGGGGGGGGTCGGGGAACATTGAAAAAATACATATGGAACCCGTACCCACCCCAACCCGAAATTCGGGTCTTCGGGTTGGGTCGGGGTGGTCTGTTAGGTAGTCAGAGAATTAGCAGGTGCGCGTGCAGCACGACGTGCGAGGGTGGCGTCCACGTGGAGCCTCCGCTCGGCCGTCCTGGACTCGGTTTGAGAGTCTCCGGAGGTCCGTGGGGCACGTCGAGGGCTTTGGCGGTCCCTTCCGCCTGGCACGCCCAGGCTTTCCTCGGCGTCACCCCAACATACTTACTCCAGATTTCGTAATAAAGGGAGGGGGGTCTCATTCTGGGGGGGGGTCTGTTCCAAGCTATCTTGGAGGGCCTGGGGGGGTCTGGGGACGATGTTTTGGAGGGTTTTCCCACGGGGGGGTCTGAAATGGCTTGTCTTGGAGGGTCCAGACCCCCTCCCTTTTATTACGAACTCTGGAATATACTATATGTGCGTCGCCCCGCCGGGGGCGATGCGCGCACCGAGAACTCTTGTAGTACATGCGTCGAGACGGGCGTTTTCTGGCCACACCGCTCGGGAAACGATATGCTACAACATGGGCATACTATTTGTTTTGGTCGGACGCTCACCTCCAAGGAGAACATATAGTACTAGTATGTCTCTCTGCGCTCCGTTTCCTGATGTTTTTCCGCTGGGCTCATTTTTACCGCCAGGTCGCGGCACTTCGCTCACGCTCGTGGCCTGTGCGCCCGCCCTTCGTCCCTTCCGCTCTCTTCGGTAAGTAGCAAGTTGTGGCAGCCTTGTATGCCCTCGCGTCTTTAGAGTGCACCGGCGTCGACTAGCGCCTGCGAGCCGATGAGGAAGGCGCCGATGGGAGTGCCGACGAGGTAGCGTCGGTTCAGCGCCGATCCGCGTCGGCCAGCATCGGTCAGCGTCGGTGCGCAAGAGGCAACGTAATGGTACGGGAGGCTTCCCATGAATCGCGTCCGAAGCCTCCCCTCTCTTCTCCAGGAGATGGCGCTGCACTTTTCTCGAACCCGTCGGGGTGGGGCCGCGCCCGCAGCCGCCGCGCGCTCAGGTATCCCTCGGGGTTTCGCGGATGCAGGCCGGAGAGATGCAGGAGGGGCGGGCGCGCCTGCTTGGTACGGTTTTCGTTGGAGGACAGCGCGTAGCGGGTTGTCTGTCGGAAACTGGAACATGTGCATTACCAGTGGCGGGCTGTTTTTCAATCCCAGGACTTTTTGAGGGTCGGGGACGACGTCGGGGTGGTGTGGTGTATACTTGTGTCCCCTTTTTTTCCTGGGGAGGCATCGAAACATGTATACATGTGTACACCAGCATCCCGTATATACCATGATCCGATTTTCTGTGTGAATTTCAGCGCGGGGCCGGAAAAAACTTCGGTGTATATAGAGTAAGACTCCGTAGTCTGGGTCCTGGGCGTTTTTGTTTGTCGCTAGCTTTCCCATCCCAGGAGGAGGAGAAGGAGGAGGAAGAGGAGAAGCAGGAGGAGGGTGAGGAAGAGGAGGGGGAAGAGGAGGGGGAGGAGGAGGAGAAGGAGGAGGAGGAAGACGGGGAGGAGGAAGAGGAGGAGGTGGAGGAGGAGGCGGAGGAAGAGGAGAAGGAGGAGGAGGAGGAGGAGGAGGATGGGGATGATGATGATGATGATGATGATGATGATGATGATGATGATGATGATGATGATGATGATGATGATGATGATGATGATTATGATGATGATGAGGAGGATGTGATGCTGATGATGATGATGGTGATGGTGATGATGCGATGATGATGATGATGATGATGATGATGATGATGCTGATGATGATGCTGATGATGATGATGATGATGATGATGATGATGATGATGATGATGATGATGATGATGATGATGATGATGATGATGATGATGATGATGATGATGATGATGATGATGATGATGATGATGGTGATGGTGGTGGTGGTGGTGGTGGGTGATTAGGAGGAGGAGGAGGAGGAGGAGGAGAAGGAGGAGGAGGGGGACAGCACACATCATGTTAGTGTGAGGAGGACGAAGAGAAGGAGGAACAACATACGGACGTGGAGGCGGATCAGGATAAGGAAGAGGAGCCACAGGAGGTAGGAAAAGGGAATGAGACATATAACACAGCGAGGAGGATTATATCCAAGACGCGAGACTCAGGACGTGGGGGAGGCCCTCCCGAGGGGTTGTCCAGGTCCCACAAGAGAGATGGCACGACAGCTGAGACGGCGGCGAAACTACGGATAAAACGGGAAAGCATCGGGAGGCGGCTGCACAGTGTCTGCCTGAGAGAGGCTTTGCCCTGCGACAAAGAGTGAGTCTGCCGCTCTGCTTGACTCTTACTTGAGGCGTCGTACGCGGCTAGCCTCAGGAATATAAGATGTGGTGGGCGCGGAAGCCGAGGCCCGCAACCTCGCCTGTGAGGCGCTCGACCGCAGCTCAACGGTCATGCGCTTCACGCATTTCTGCAGCACTCGCGCCTGGGCGCGTATGATGGCTGCCGCGCGTCTGGCAGAGCGTTGCGAACCATTCAATGTGGCGCACTGTGCTGCGAAAGCATTGTTCACGCATCCTCCGACAGCTCTGCAGCCAGCCATTGGAGCGCCCGCCATGCAGCGAACGCTTGAGAGGTGTGACTGCACCTAGAGAATGCGCCATCTCGAGTCGCCAAGATGGTTGGCGCCAAGCGTTGAGGAGGAGGAGGAGGAAGAGGAGGAG